GATTAATTTTACTATAATGACATCCAAGGGGGAGTGTTATAAACCCATTTGTATGGAAGTCCATTATAGGCCCATATTATAAAACCTTCTAGACTTACCTTTTCTCCAAGTTGTACTTCCTCCCAAAGCTTTGTAACCCTATATATACTCTGTATTATTCATGAAATAAGACAACACAATTCCTTCTCTCTTTCTCTTATTCATAACAGAGTTTGAGTTAATGATGATATTTGATTATGCAATATGGAAAATTTTAAAAGTAGAAAATAATAAAGTATTACCTCAAAATCTACCATTCAACCAATTACATAATTACCTATAATGTTTTTAACTATATTAAAACAGATGTTCTGTTAGATAATAATAGTACAAGATTTGATCCCAATAATGTATTTACGTTATGTTTTAGTTTTTAATTATTTTAGTTATACTATTACTATAGTTTCTACAAACAAGATAAATTTAAGAATAATATAAAGATGGAAATTCAATCCTCTTAAAAGGTATCAACTCCTTTTTATTTGTATTTCCAAATTCCAATAGTAGTCCAACAAACTTTTGTTGGGACTATATAGTAATTGATTTCGTGTGTCTAGTAATTTATTTATTTTTTGGTGACATTTTTGTAGCTTTTTATTTCCAAGAAAAGCTAAAAATCGAAATTTATTAGGCCAACAAACAAAACACAGGCCAATCACACAATAAAAGATAACATAGTCATTTTCACGTCGGCCACGGTAATGACATCTCGTGATTTATCCCTATCCCTTTAAAAAAGAAAAAATTAAGCACTTTAATAAAAAAAAGATATATACAATTTTTTTTTTTGGTCAAAGAAAAAAAGATATATACAAATCGTCGGAAACTTGTTGTCACAAATATTTGGCGGTTGAAAAAGCAGAACGTTCTTCTTCGTTACCGTTTTGGACCCGATTCTTTCTCCTTCGCTTACTGATTTTTTTTTTTGGTTTCTTCTTCATTATTGAATTTTCTCTCGTCTTTTCTTTTATATATATAAAAAAAATTTCTCGAGAAAAAAACAAAAATGGGTTTCTTCACGAGTGTTTTGGGTATCATCGGTTTCGCAATCGGAATCCCTATTGGACTCATCATTGGATTCTTCGCTTTGGTTTATTCTCAACCTAAACACGAAGAGGTAAATTTGTAAGCTTGTCGCATCTTTCGTTCTCTTGATTGTTTTCATCATCTGGGTATAGCTCAGGTCGATTTCAGTTGTTGACTAATCGTAACTGCGTTTGGATTTCGTGTAAAATTAAATGTTTCTCAATTATTTGAAAGTCGCAGTCTTTTGTTTAATAATGCAAAAGCCTTTGATTTAGTCTTCGTGTAAAAGTTTTGAGGTCAAGTGTTCTTTTTTTGTAACATTGCAGTATCCACCTGCAAGGCCACTAGTTGAAACTAGCATCAGTGTGCTTCTTGATCTTTTACCAGACATACCATTATGGATTAAGAATCCTGATTATGAAAGAGTAAGTCACATTTATACAAGTTTATTATGTTTTCGCCTCCTCCATTACTTTACTTGACTGATAAGTTCTTTCTTGTTGTTTTTACATTAAGGTGGATTGGTTTAACAGGTTTCTCGCATACATGTGGCCTTACCTCGATAAGGTTTCTTTTCTAGTTTTCTTCTTCTGAATCAAATTTCATTTAGCTCATGTTTTAAGTTTGAGTCTTCTTCTCGTGTATAAGGCGATTTGCGGGATTATCCAGAGTTGTGCGCGACCGATATTTGCGGATTATATTGGAACGTTCTGTATAGAATCCATAGAGTTTGAGAAATTGAGCCTTGGACCGCTTCCACCAACAGTTCATGGTGAATCCTAGTCCTGTTTTGTTACCTCTTATCGTTCTGTGCCATGTGCTAATGGTGAATGCCATTGTGTCTTATCTTCTGCAGGTGTTAAGTTTTACGAGACCAACGAGAAGGAGCTTCTGTTTGAACCATCAATAAAGTGGGCAGGTAATCCCAATATTGTTTTGGTGATAAAGATGCTGTCTTTACGAATAAAAGTTCAGGTCAGTAAGTTTTGGAACACAAGAGAAAACTTTACCACTCTTAGTTCCATAGACACAAAGTTTTAGCATTGTGACTGCTGATTATTTAACTACTTACCTTTGCAGCTCGTAGATCTTCAAATTTTCGCTATAATGCGTGTAGCTCTGAAGCCTCTTCTACCGACTTTTCCTTGTTTCGGAACAGTTGTAGTTTCATTGATGGAAAAGGTAAAAGAGTGACTAAAAATGGATTTGAAAGTTGGGTACTTTACCAACCATTGGGGTGGGGAATTGATCACTGTGATTCTCTTTGTAGCCGCATGTTGATTTTGGATTGAAAGTGCTTGGTGGAGATCTCATGTCCATACCGGGTCTCTACAGATATGTTCAGGTGCTGCATTGATGATCCTCCTATGGGTAGGAGTTGGATTATGGTGATTATCTTGTAAAATGAAACGCTCTTTTGATTGTTATAGAGAACTTAATCTTTGTCTCATGATTTTGCAGGAAACTATTAAAAGGCAAGTTTCAAGCATGTACCATTGGCCACAAGTGCTTGAGATACCTATTCTTGATGCTTCAACGTAAGTGTTGTCTTAAGGAGGTTTATCAACTTTTCGAACAATGTAACTAGAAATAAGGAGATCTTTCAGTTTCTTTCCTCTGATCTCTGAGTTTACCGCTGATGCAGAGTGTCCGTGAAGAAGCCTGTAGGATTACTACATGTGAACATCATTCGAGCTCAAAATCTCCTCAAGAAGGACTTCCTTGGAACATCCGACCCTTATGTCAAGCTTAGCTTGACCGGAGAAAAGCTTCCAGCAAAGAAAACCACCATAAAGAAGAGGAATTTGAATCCGGAATGGAACGAACACTTCAAGCTCATCGTGAAGGACCCAATAACACAAGTCCTTCAACTAGAAGTCTTCGACTGGGACAAGGTCTCAGCATCTCATTTCACTCCTCCATGTACTTTTCATATACCCGGTTTCTTCTCTAGTTCAACAATTTGTGTAATTCTAACTAAGGCTGCTCTCTTCTTCTCTATAGGTCAGTGGGCACGACAGACTGGGAATGCAGATGATCCCCTTGCAGAAGATTAACCCGGGAGAGAAGAAGGCATTTAATCTGGATCTGATCAAGAACTCGAACATTGTTATGGATTCTCGGGACAAGAAACAAAGAGGAAAACTAGAGTTGGATCTCAGGTATGTGCCATTCAGAGAAGAAAGCCTTAAAAGTAGAAACGAAAATCAGGATGAGTACCAGAGAAAAGAAAGCACAGGGGAGAAATCATCAGAGGACGATGAATTTCTCAGCCATGCCGGTCTACTCACAGTTGCAATCCAATCGGCCAAAGATGTTGAAGGCAAGAAGAAACACACCAACCCTTACACTCTTGTTCTCTTCAGGGGAGAAAAGAAGAGAACAAAGGTAAATTCTACAACTGCATTTTGCTTAGAAGCAAAACCTTAAGAACTATTTGGCTCATAATGAGACTCAGCTCAAGTGCATTATGTCGTCTGAGTTCTACGTTTTCTTGATCAGATGTTGAAGAAAACAAGAGACCCACGATGGAACGAGGAATTCCAGTTTACACTTGAGGAGCCGCCATTGAAAGAGAGTATACGCGTTGAGGTCATGAGTAAAGGAACTGGCTTTCACTTTCGGTCCAAGGTAAATATCTCATGCCTTGCCCTGAGCCTGCTAAACCCAGTTTGACGTTTAGGTTGGCTGTAAACCGGTTTTTGAGCAGCCCATTTCAACTCATATCTTTGCTTGATCTCTATGTAGGAGCAACTAGGACATGTAGACATAAATCTTGGCGATGTTGTTGACAATGGAAGGATCAACCAAAAATACCATCTTATCAATTCCAGAAACGGCGTTATTCACATTGAGATCCGTTGGACGACTAGTTGACAAAACTGATAACAAAATCTTCCTTGTCGTTTATCAAAATCATATCGATGGGTTATTTCAACTGAAATTCAAAGTACATATTAAACGAGTGGTAAATTGTTTCATACAGAGCAGGTTAAAGTATAAAAGAAATTTAAGGGCTTTGGAGATTCTTAAGGTCTTCCTCTTTGGCGTACCAGGTAGGTATGATCTTAGGAAGGTGAGGATAGAGATCCTTGTATGAGTTTCTTATCGTCCCTTCTGCAACTCCGGTTGCTACTGATACATCTGCAGTATTAATTTCACAGTTAAATGAAGTAAATTCTTGTTTTGCGAAACAGAATGTGCATGAAAACTGACCTCGAAGCGGTTTCTTGTCATCAGAAAGCTGTGTTATGATGTAGATAACCGCTGCAGCGATTGATATGGGACTCCTCCTGCAGAATTTAACACAGAGCGTAATGAGAAACCACATGGTGATAGATTCAGAATATAAGAATGATAGGGTTCAAGGAGCCATTGATATGAGATTTTGTACCTAATATCAAACTCTTCCGACTTCTTCACAGATTCTTGAGCTGCTTTTACGGTTTGGTTGGTCATGCCAAGATTGGAGCAAAACCGTCTCTAAACATTTATAATCATTTTCACTTGATTAGGAACAAACAAGACAGTTAATCATGACAAATGAGGATATGTATTAAACAAAAAAACTCACCATAAAGTCACCGGCGTGTATAGTCCCCATTTCTACTGACTGTCCTGTTTCCAACCCCAACTGTTTGACTATGTATTCTTTCGCACGACCAATCTCTTTCTTTGTGGCTCCGTTGGCAACAGAACAGATTTCTATACCAAATCGAGAGTATTAGAGGCACGATGCCATTGAAGAAGGGAACGATAGAAGCTTAAGAATATTCTTATAGCTGTGTATGTGTACCCTTCACAGTTCGTGGCTTGTCCTCTTGCCGGCAAGCAATATATAGACATGCAGCCAAAAGGGCGTCCTGGTTTCTTCCTCTACTCGACTTCTGATCCTCCACTCTTTTAAAAATCTCATTAGCACGATCCTTCAAAAAATGGCAAAAGACATGACACAAAGTTTATATTTACGATATGACAAAGCAAGGACAACACAGCCATTTAAATAGGAAGAGTGATTGGTTGATTCTACGAATATCTGCAGCTAGAGTAAAGAATATGAAAAGTCTGAATATTGAAGATAAGATTGGTAAGAAAACAAACAAACCTTGATGGTAGCAACAAGGCCCAACCTGAAACACAGTATTCATCAAATTAGTAATGGCTTATATCAAGCAATAAATAGCTTTACCCAAGAAGATACCATAAAGCATTGAAGCTATACATACCAAAACAGACAACATATAAATGATCTTTCTTTATGCCTAATAACGCGATTCATAGCGAATTGAATCACACAGAACATATCCTTGTTTCAATCCATGACATAGATATCATTTCAAGGAGAGAAAAAGATCAAAACTTTACTCTTCTTAGAGAGTGAAAACCTTGCGTCTACTTTTTAGTGGACATAATTGAAGCTCACTAAAATAGGTTCCTTGAGATGAGAAAGCTGAGTCCTAACTCACAAAGTTACAATTTTGCAGCAACAATGACAGATCAAGAACTCAATTACACTGCAATCAACTCGAATTAGAGCTTA